AGTATACAAAATTATTTTCCTATAAATTATAATGACCTCGAATCTAAGGATGTCATGTCCAAGAAGTTATGTTAAGTTTAGTTTTTGTCTTGTGTCAATGTGTCATGGTTTCCTGTTTTATTTTGACATTTAACTCCCCTCTTGTTTCAGGTAACTTGCTCGTTCCCTTTGTGTGTTTCCCACTGGTCTGATTGTCTGCCCTGCCCTGATTGTTTCCACCTGTTCCCCATAACCATGTGGGTATATGTAGTCTGTGTCTCCCTTTGTCCTGTGCCAGTTCGTCTTGTCTTTTGAAAGTCAGAGAACCTACGCCAGTCCATGCCAAGCTGTCTTGCCAGAGTCAGGTTTTGTATTCTTTTGATACTTTGCTTTGTGTTAACCTGTCTTGCCTTATGTTATTTTGATACTTTGTCTTGCCTCTTTTTATAGTTATAGTTGTTATTCCTCGTGAGAGTGATTTTCATTTGAAACTTTGTCATTAAAAGATTATTTATTTGAACTTTGTCTCCTGAGTCATGCCTTTGGGTTCACATCCCAGTTCGGTTGTGTAAAAGGAAATCTACTATTCAATAAACGAAGAACATTAAAGAGTGCTTTAAGAACTATTACAAAAATCTTTATTCACAACCTCACACTGATAATGATCAGAAAATGGAGACACTATTTGAATCATTAAAATTTCCAACTCTTAAATCAAATCGTCAAATTTTATTTGAATAGAACTTTTCATACACAATGGCAACACAAAGTGCTTACTGAAGATCAAAATAAAGCACTAGTTTCACAAACAACAAAAGAGGAAAGTTATTTGGCCATAGGCAGGTTAAAAAATAACAAGTCCCCTGGAGCTGATGGTTTACTTTGGAGTGGTACAAAAATCTAAAAGATGCTCTGATGCCTATTTTACTAAAAACATTCAATTGGGTTCTGACAAAGGGGGAAATTCCTGATTCATGGAATGAGGCAAGTATTACTGGGTGAGTAGTGACACCAAATTGCAAATATATGTATACATATGTACATATATTTGTAAATGTGGTTCTGATGAAGTCAGAGTGAAGGTCTTTCTGCGTGGAATTTGCATGTTCTCCCCGTGCAGCGTGGGTTCTCTCCAGGTTCTTTGGCTTCCTCCCACACAGTCCAAAAACACGTTGAGGTTAATCAGTGATTCTAAATTGTCCGTAGTTGTGAATGTGAGTGTGCTTGGTTGTCTGTCTCTAAGTGTAGCCCTGTATCTGTAATTGCAGAATGCTTATTCCTATTGCAGCTTTTCCGTTTTTTATATTCAGTGTAAATCTTTGTGAAATCTGCCGTCATAGAATCATATCCTTCCTCTGGATTTGCTTTAATATGGAGAGATCTTCATCAGCCTCTGGCAAGAGCAATGACGGAATTGTTGGCAGCACACGACTGGGCCCATCAACATATTTTTTATTCCTACTTCTTGTGCTATCTAACTCATGGAATTTACCTCACATATTTCCAGAGGTACCCTGAAGTTGCAGTAAATAATAACAGGTATTGAGGACTTGTAATTCTGCACCTTAGACCACTTGTTCAGAGTCAACTTTTCCCTTCTCAGCTAAAATGTGGGTCCCCCATTTCAATAGAACAGTGTTAATCAGTATTGTTCTTCAGCCTGCACAACAGCTGAACTCTTTAGAACAGGGGGAGCTGCTCTCCAACATGACAAATACCCATAATCAATCACAGATCTTATAATTACATATCATCAAAAATGTTCTTCTATCTTCTCCCCAGTCAGTTCCTGCCAGATATCACATGATGTTAATGATGTTCTCACGCTCATGCAGCTGTCGCCTCTACTTGTAGCCCCCATATCATTCTCTCCTCAAAACAGAAGCCCAGAAATGTGAATTTGTATCTCTGTCAACAAACTTATTTAAATAGCCTGAGTTCCTGATATGGCGCTTTTTTTTTTTTTAACAGCTGAGCTGCATGTAAATATGGTGTTACTTTTCCATATGACCTCATCATCAGCAAAAAGTGATACACCATAAAAAGTCCCACTTTACAAAAAAGGCAAAAGAGGAGGAAAAGTTAAAAATGACTGAATACACCTCCCTGGTGGATCCAATTGCTCACTATTTCTTCACTGGACAGGGTCCCATCTACTCTTACTTGGATCATATGATCTTAAAAACATTTTTTGATACAGTTTAGCATCCTACCTCATACCCCAGCATCATTGGGGTTTATCACTAATCTCTCAATTTTCTTCTTCTCAATATCAAGAAATAAACCCAAACCCATCTCTTCCAGGTGCTGTGTCTCACCTTTTGTGACTGGTTTGTTTAAGTTCATACAAAAAAATAAAGTGTCCACTTCATTTGTATTGTCATTATTACGCTATAATTTGAAACTGTCTTTATTCAACCTCACCTCCTTTTTTGTGCTTGCTGAACTTAGATCTTCTAAGCTATGCCTTGCTTTGAATATTTTAACTAACGTCTGCCTTGCTTTGCCTCCTGTCCTTCAGATAGTATTGGAACTGTAGATGTCCTATACACTACTGCTATCCAGTGGACCAAGACCCATAACGTTCCAACCTCTGTTTGCAGCCATAAAATACTGCAGTATCTGTGCCAGTGATCTCTTGTTACCTCTCTCATAACTCTCCTGACCTTTGTCCTGTCTCTTATTTTTAATGGCTTTCCAATCCGCTGTATGGAGAGCATGGGCAGTAAGATTGCATGCATTATTCCACCATGTACAGTCTGATGTTCTTTTTGAACCTTGTGTCTCTGGTATAAACTCATCTGCAGTCAATGCAAGAACTTCTGTTCCAGGTATCCATGTCCTCACTACTTACATTTACTACCCATTCTTTGCCCTTCTCTTTGAATTCTTCTCATTTGCCATGAGCACTGGGTTCTCCTTCGCCTGTTATCCTGCTCTTTTATTAGTATTGTACCAAACTTGCTTAATATTGAAACCTGATGACTTCCCATTGTGTATACATGTATGTCCCATTCCCTGACTAAAGCAAGCTCAGCTTATAAGCTGAATGTAAATGTTGCATTAATTTACTGGCTGACTAGCTGGGAATTATGCAGGCCTACCATCACTTAATGCCACAAGCCCACATTTGTCTAAAAAATCCCCAGGACATTTGTGTTTCATGTCCTGCTCTCCGTGTTGGTAATGTGTGGCTCTTTCTGAGATTGAACCCGAACAGCTCTCACGAAGCTCTTTGGGTTTTCCATGACTTGTGATTCACTAGTAAGTGTATAGTGTATTAGAATGGTCTAGAACATGGTAGAAATTAACAGGACCATTTGGACTAGGGTGAAAACTGTATTTTCCTAAAAACTGGAAATAATTTTCAGGGGTATGAATAAACTTGGACATGGAAATTTTCAGTAAAAATGCTTTAAAAATGTAGAAATAGTTCAAATCAATCATTAACACAATGTTTCATTGTGGTTTTTTTCCCACTTGCTTACGTCTTTTACAGCCACAAGAAAGCTATTGATTAATTAAAAAAAGACATCAAAGGCAAATTGGAACAGCTATCTCCAAACAGAGGAGGAGGACTGCGACACCAATTAAGTATCACACAGTGCAAAGGTCTCTCCCAAGAAAGTTTCACCATCAGTGACTTCTTGAGTCACCCTGACGTGGCAGATTCACATCCTTTGTTGTTGGTGTTATTAGGTCACCTAGTTTCACAACTATTTACACTAGAAGAAGATGAGTCCTTGGGAAATGGGTGTGACGTGTCTTCAAGAACCTGAAAGAGAAGTCCAGCTGCTTTAACCGGAAGCTCTTAGAATTACAATGACCTGGATGCTGAGAAATTGCACAGACACTGAACTGACTCGTGGATCCACTGGAGGGCAATCAACACTCATGATTTGATATGTACAGCAGCAAGTACCAAGGCAGACCCAACAGCTTGCTTTTGATTTCTGTGTCCACCTTCAAAATAAATGTTTTAAAATTGAGGCCTGATAATGCAGTGTGAAGTATGGAAGCATGTAGCAACAAACAGTCGCATTTCTAAGCGTTAAAATATTAAGACTGTGTTCAGCTCTTATAATAGACAACATCTAGACTAGAAGCCTACAGCTAACAAAAGGACAGCTGACACATATGAGAAAAACGTATAATGCATGGACTTAGATGGAATACGATGGAAATTTTGCTACTGCCAGTGTTGCAATATTTGAGACTGCTTAGCCGTTGGTCCAGGCTGATTAGATTTTTTTTATTTTATTTTTTTGAGTGTTCCTAATCAATCCCCACGGAATGCCATTACATTGGATAACAAATAAGTATTCTTATGAATACATCTTGTAATAAATAAATGTGGTATTATGAAAGAGGCCCCTTGTAATAAATACGTAGTCCCTCAAAAATGTCCTTTTAAAACAAAACAAGGTTCATTTAATTTTGTTGACGTTTATTTACATGTCTCGATTTCCTTGTTTATTTTATAGTCGTATTTGACATTTCACGTGATTATTTATTTATTCTATACAGATTTGTTTTATACTTGCTAATCCAGGAGGAGCTAGGCAAGAATAAACTGATATTAACGTAATAAATAGACTTTCAATAAAATATGAACATGAATCCTAAAACGAGCCATGTCAGGACATTTCCAGTGTGAACAAATGAAACAGCATACCTGAGCTAGGTGCAAGCGTGTAACTGTAGCAACGGAAAACTTGTTTATATCTATCTTACAGGCATCAAGTACACTAAATTGACTAAATACAATATCTTTACATTACCATACGTGTGTCAGTTAGTGAATGAAACCGGTTAAGTTTTGATCATTTTCAGAGTGGGGACGTTTGATAATTTACAATACTGGCTCCATGTTGAAACGACTACCCAATCACAGCGTCAATGAACGCCCACTGAAATGCATCCAGGGCTCCTATTGGCTGACGAGCACGTCACTCTCCCGACGAGCCCGGGTTCGGTTGCAGCGCAGGTGAAGTGTGGACGGTGGTTCATAGGGCAACAAACAGCAGCGTACGCCGCCGGGAGACATCAATGGTGGAGTACGCGTCCATTCAGGGAAAGGTCTGAGAGAGACCGTTACTGGGGCTTACATGGAGAGCTGAAACTGAATATGAGGCTAACGTCCTTAATGATGCACATATCTCCGGTTCTGCTATTTATTTTGTATGTATATATCGGATTTTCTGAAGCTGCACCCCGCATCAGTCCCTACGATGCGTCGCCTATCTCCAGGAAGCCCGGCTCAGCCTCCGACACCTGGGAGACCTTCCACACCGACATGCCTCCGACTTTACCCGAGAGCACGTTCACTCTCGGGCCTCTAGCCGGACTCACACCAGTTGTTTCAGCCGGGCCAGCCTCCTCCACCACCACTACAAGCCCTAGCTCCGAAACTGCAACCACCCTCCAGCCTCCAACAACAGATCCGACAACCACCACCACCGCTACTAGCACCACCACCGCCCCCGATCCTGGAATATTCTCAGCCACTAAAGATCAAATCATTTTCAGATCAACCGGCAAACGATCCACCGATGCACAAACATCACTTTTTACTCCGGAGAAAACGCTGCAGACCATGGTGTCCATGGTTTCCCAGCGCACAGCAAACGATGCCTGGGCTGCAGATAAAATTGGCACATCTGTTACCTCAATAGAGAACAGTCAAGGTGAGTGATCTCAAATGAAAAAAAAGAATAAATCTGTTAGATTTTGGGGGGGCTTTTGTAAATGATGCTTTACGCACAACCACCATCAGAGAGACAGCCAGTGAAAAACAAGACATCCATGTGTAACACAGGATGGTCGCACTGTGGTTTTGACGCAGAGAGCGACCGAAAAACCAGATTGCAACAATAGGCAGACTCTCAGATGCAATACGAGCCTTCAAGTAATCGGGAAATGACCAAATCCATAACACCCTTTATGCACAATTTGTTCAATGTAGATTTCTCTGCGTGGTCTTTATTATAAACCAGAGGCCTTTTTATTCTAGGATGACACATATTACAGCGGGCTGGAAATAAGGGGGGAGGGTGAGGGGGTGGGGGTGATCCTGTTGTTGTTCAATTTATCCAGTTCATATATAATCTACAAGGACCTGGGTCTGTTGTGTTAGACTGGCTGCATTTGGCTACTGATAGAGAATTACAAGGAGCTGCTCAGATAGCTGCAGCATCCCCTCTATTGTTGTTTGCATGGCATATTCAGAACAAGGCCATTCAACCAAAATGGCCAGGCAGGCCAAGCCATGAATGAGCAATGACAGTGGGGGCCCCTCCTCTCTCACATACATCCCAGTATCCATGTGGATGTGTTGTTCTCCAGTCAGCACAGCAGTGCAGGCTGAGGGTTCTCACTCAAAATGGTTCTTGAGTGTTTGTGACAGTCAAAGATGTGAGAACAGAGAACACAACATTCCCTTTTTATCATTAGTATTACTTCTTAGAAAAGCTGATCATGGCAGCGTTTGGTTGCTACAGCAGGGATGACTGCAGATTTTACGAGAAATGGTTTTGGGGAAAACAGCAGGACCAGAGTTGTGGCTGGTTCTGTGGTGGTTGGACAGTTAATGGCGAAGAAATGTTCAGTGGAATATTTCTGAAGGGTTGAGTTTCAAATAATTGTTATTATATTGGAAACGTCTTTAAATCTCAGAGTTTTGTCAATGGAGATTTATAAACACGTATGTTCATCTGTCAGTTGACATAAAAATACCTAAATATGATTCCATTCCATTTCCCAGTAGTGAAAATTTGTTGTTTCTCTCTCGGTTTTTTTCCCTTTTGTTCATTTGTGACAGCGCACTGGATATGTTTGGGTTTTGTATTGTTGGTCAGACAAAACAAGCAATCTAAGGACGCCATTTTGGGCTTTAAGAGACAATGATGGTTACTGTTACTATTCTAAAGTCCAAAAGAGTAGAATATTAATTGACCTGCAATCAATCTACTTGTTGTGTGCGATTGTTTTTCATTGAAGCCTGAAGTCAAATTGAAATCTGCACCCTTGCGTGAGGTCATACTTAAAAGCTTCACCCTTCCATCATCTCCAAGAATCTCAACATTCTCCATTTTTCTCGTGCACATGACAATGTGACATCAACAAAGGCGTAACTTGGGATCACACCCAGCCACCATGATATCTTCTCTGGCAGTGCAGAGGCCTTGCAGACAGATACCCTGAGGTGTATTTTCACATGTTTCAGGTATACTTTATTTGAAATAGCCCTCAGTGCTTTCTGATAGCTGAGAATGTAGTTTGATACTTGACACAAAATTGAAAGTACAGCAATTATATTCTGTATAGCAAGCAGTAAACTGGGAAAGAGAGGAGTTTTGAGACGTGGCTTGTTCTGAACAGCCTGCTGCTGCCCGTGTCTGAATACCAGTCATGCCATCGCATCACTTCACAGCCAGCCAGACAGATAGGAGAGGTGAATTCTACCTTAGTTCCTCCTCACCTCCTCTCCCCCACTACACACAGTTCCAATCCAATCTACATCAAACTTGTTGTGCAGCTTCACAGAATTACCTCGCTGGGGCCCAATCACACACCCAGAGGAAACTGGGTTTTAAGAATGAACTGCAGTTTGTGTGTGTGAGAAGTGATACACATTTATCGGATCTCATACATTCTCAGGCGTGATCGGGGCTGACAGTTTATCAGTGGATGGTGCTCTTGTAAAGGCCCTGACAGTAGACTCCACAGGCTTGCATAACTACAGGCCTTTCTTAGTTACATAAAAGTCCAAGCAACAGTGGAAGAGAGCATAATCTGAGTGGGATGCCCATGCAGTGATACATTAAAATTCAGCTGTCCTTTCCACTTTATCTAACCTTTAGCTGAGGTATTGTGTGCACGCTAAATATGAAAAACAGGCTGATTTCACTTTCTTATTTGTCTGTTTCCTTTGTCTGACTGCTGAGCCCGGAATGGAGACATGTAGTCGAGCCTTTGGTTGCCACACCTAACCTGAGACCAGATGAATAATAGATTGCCACTCTGTGCTCTTCAGGGTCATCCACATGCCTGTCATTATATGACCTGATTTGGTAAAGAGACCACCAGTTAGAACTGTACAAATGCTTCATATGCAGCACTCAGTTTACTAGGTTTATCACTGTTGCTTTAGATGGGAATGTTGAACATTTTTAAAAAATATATATCTTGCTTTCTGAAAAACAAGCGTCTAAAGCAGAGGATATGGATGCTAGCTCAGAAAGATGAAGTGCACCCTTTTTAATTTGTGCACTGGCGAGAGAAATCTGGACAAGCGAGTGAATTAACAACTCTCCCTGCTCCTTTAGCATGTTGTCCTGAGCAGTTCCCAGGGGATGATGATGCCAGAAGATTGTGAATGGACCAGGCAGCTTTAAGTGAATGATTGTGGAAGGCGGGCAGTGTTACACGGCAACACTTAGTCCACTGTCGAAAGCAACTTCCCTGTACATAGCCACCAACAAAGATGTTCCAGTGCGACTAATGGAAAAAAAAACTGAGCAGTGTCGTTACAAAAAGTGCAAGTCACTGGCACCTGTGGAATGTTGGACTGAAACGGTGTATGATGCATGTTTGAAAAGAATGACTTCCCCATTTTTGAAATACAGTACATTACTGGTACAACTGGCCACAGCAAAGAGATCACACTGAAGGGGGAGGGTGGCTGGATGACTAGGGGAGTGAAGCGGAATTAAATAAGATTTATGTTGGGAAAATTAAATCTGGTTCCTTTTTTATATGATGCTTCTCAAATATGTACTGATTTTTATTTTGTCCTCTTAAAGGGAAGAAATTGAGATCTGCTGCTCTACACACGCATGCACACTTTATTACTAAATGGTGGGGAAATTAAAATATCTGCCAGCTTTCCAACTGTTTCCAGAAGTTAGACCTGTCAGGACCAGTGGTGATGTTAAGGCTGGTCCAGCGTATTGTTTAATGTGTTCTGTACCAATAGCCACTCTTCTGACTGGGTGCAGTTCTTTGAGATTCAGAACAACCAACTGTTAACCATTGCTTTCACTTCTTCAAACTACTACCTAAAAAACGGTCTATGCAAGCTTTACTTAGAACGCCATCCGTCCAGAAAAGACCAATAATTTCAAAGAATAGTTTTGTTTGTTTCATAACTGTCATCTATAGTCATGCACCTTCATCTATCATAATATAATATATAGATGGGTGTAGACACAGTTGTGATTAAGGCTACAACTAATACTTTGTTTATTTATTTGTTAATCCTGTTAAACATTTCAATATAATAGTAATTGATTTTACAAAACTGAAGACTTTTGCAATTTCCAGTACAATGGGTCATTTTCAAATTGTCTGTTGTGTCCGAGGTAAAGTCCATTACCCAGATGTATTCACTTTACAATAGTATGAAGCAAATAAAAGCAAGTATCCACATTTTAATACATATCATATTTGGTATTTTTTGGTGAGTGGTTAATCAGGTTTCCTAATTGTTGTTGACCAATGTAATGCCAATCAATTATTTGACTATTCATTTCAGCTATTCTTGCTAAATGGACTACATGGCATTTTATGTGATTGGAGTTTGCTATTTTTGTGCTCTTCTTTTAGCCTTCTGAACCTTAAAATCTGCTGGTGGGTTTGAGAGGCACTTTAACTTAAACAAATCACCATAATTACACACTTTATCATGGCCAGAAACTGCAAAAACAGAGTTGTGAATGTTAAGATTTTTGACTTTCTGAACGTCCTTCACCTATTCATGTATCAACCAAATTTAAACTTTGAATCGGGATATTGAATCACTTTATTAACAATTGGCTAAAACGGCTTGCCATTGGTGGATTAGATTGTGACCAACAGTCACGTGACAAAATTCTGGGACTTTTCAGGTGAACTGCCGCCTGTGTTAACACAGAGCAGATAGGCGACAAGGAGGGAAGCAAATTAGACAGTCTGAAAACAAAATAAAACATACTTGATCACTAAATTCAACATAACTAAAAAATATCCAGAGGAGCAAGTTTTTGCCAAATGGTTGGAAGAATCAACATGGTGAAACATCTTTTGAGAGTTGTTCAGAGGAGTGGGAAACATGATGAGTTTGTAGAGTTGTGAAAAATGTCAATAGCAAAATATCTATAGTATGAGGAGCCATCATTATTTTTCCAGTATTGGTAAAATATTGTACATGTTGATTCCTTTTTTTTTCTAATAAATAGTGAGGCTTTTTAAAATTGTTGTTGTTTTTTGTTTTGTTTTTTTATGATTTATGCCATTAGAACAGTTTCACTACTGCACAGAAGACATCTGTCAGTTCTCTCTACTTACAGAGTAAGTAAAATGTGACAGGAAAAAAAAACACCTGGAAACTACTTGAGGTTGAGAGGATTATGGTTCGTCCATAGAGTTACTTAGTTTCAGACCAGGGTCTGTAGATGTAAAAAAATCTAACAAGAAATCAAAAAGAAAACTGTCCAGAATTGAATTTGTGTCACTGCTGTTACCGCTCTTTCAGTATTTGCTTTTTTTTTCTTTCCCTTCTCATTGCTGCCTCCCCGTCGACCCCCTCATGCAGAGGGCATTTGTAACTGCAGCAGCGGTGGTGAGGGGATTTTGGATCCGGACGAATGCGAGCAGAGCACTGGTCAGTGTTCGTGTCTGTCGGGCTATACCGGTCTGCAGTGTGAGGACTGTGAGGAGGGACACTTCACCAACGGCACCAGCGGCTGCCTGCCCTGCGCCTGCGACTCCTACGGTGCAGTGAACCACCTCTGTGACAGGTCAGCCTGCTTTTTTGACTTTCTTTTGAGAGCTTGTAGATAAAGTAACACCCTCCAGGAGCCATGTTGGTGATGTGTGTTTGTTTTGTGAACATAACTAAGGAGACATGAAGAGACAAGTCGCATTGTATTTGTGGTTTAGATGAACTAATTTGCCCGCTAACTGTAGTATAAAATGGATTAAAGCTGCACAAATGGAGACATTTACATTGACTCCGGATCAGCTGACAATGTGTAATGTAAAGCAGGTTCTTGAGATTTGACTCCACAAAGAATTATGGACGTGTTTAAAAGCTGAACACTTTTGCAATCAATGCTTTTTTACCGTACTTTGTGTTTATAGCTTGTTATGGTGGCCAAAAAATTGATTTGTGCAACTTTAATAGTAACTTTTTTCCCAATACTACTTGACCATCAAACTCTACTACCTTTGTATTTTGAGAAGCAAGGTGAGCCATTCAAAAAAAATTCAGTTGTCCTATTGGGGCTGCTGCTAGTAGTCTATTATGGGTTGGACATGCATTCACTGATATACCATGAGATTAGATACAGATATGACACTGCCTGTCAGCAAGTGAAGAGGCGCAATGTTCACATATTAGTTTATGTTTTGTTATAATGTTAGTATAAGGAATGTTTAGCTGTAAAGTTACAGATGAAACATATGTTTATACTGCTGTGCGTCTTGATCCAAGTCACTGGCTGAACTCGGTCTTGAATTTGAGTGTGATTTGTATAAAAAACAAGTTAATTTGCATGTAAATACATGACTGATTAAAAATTACATTTTTTTTACTTTTACTTGGCTGTAATAAAATGCACTGTATATGAGCACAGAGAGCTGTAGAGAAACAAACAGATGTAACACCCGCTAAGTTTATGTTGTACTGAGGGACATCAAGCAACTGAAATCACAGTAACCCACTAAGTCCTAGTTGATTGGTTTCAAATATGCCTTACAGTTTTCCCCCTCTCTGAATGTCCAATCTGAATGGCTCACCTGGAAGCAGCAGGCATGGAGGGGGCAGCGTTATGCTAATTTTTGGCTTAGTAGCTGTCAGTTACTCAGTTTCTATGCAGAAACTTGTTGAAAGGAAGCTAGAGGAATGGCAGTAACAAGCATCTTCACACTGCTTTTATTGTACATATTAAATTCTGTTAAACATATATTATCATCTTATTGTCAATGTGGGGTATAGTATTTAGATTTTTTGCATGCAAGTACATGACTGGACAAGCAAAACCCACCTTCACTGTGCTCTAAAGCTAGAAACAAATCCTCTTCATGAGACTGTCAAGACTTATTTTGAGTGTTAGTGAATTAGCTCAGATATTTTTCATGCCCACTTGTATGTGTTATGTAGACAGTGAGATTTCATGGCAAAGTCAGAAATTGCCTCTAGGAGATTTGTGAGTTACCTGCAAAGTGGCTGCAGCTGTTTAAAGGAGTCCTATCTTAAGCAGCACAAGAGCTGTGGCCTGCGAAACCCAAACAGACTGTCTGCTGTGAATTAGAGTTTGTTATCTATTAAAGACTGGGCCAAGATGTACCGGGACTCAGCCTTGCTCAGATGTTGTTCTCATTGTTCCCTTGCAAAATCGCTATTCAGTGCATTGATCCAGGCCGTGATCCCACAGGCCTGGCTGAAGACAGCAAAATATCCCGACCCTGGTTGCTTCTCAAATTCAGAAGCCAGAAACACACAACAGAATTGCATGCAGCTTCTCCACAAGTCACAAGAGCTGTGACTGGGAAACGAAGCTGCGTGTGTGGGTTAGGAACACGGTAAAAATAGCAGCTGTTCTCTCTGCCGCTAACCATGAAAAGGAATGCTGCTGCTTTTCAGAAGCCTGAGTCCACAGTTTGTGGAGGATTTGTGTTGTCATGCTCTGAAAAACACGTCACTGTACAGGGTTACGTAAACTAAATCCTAATAGGTGTAGTCCTTTGATGGAAACACAGGACGTGTTTTTCACGCTTACAAAGACTGAAATGTTGTGTCTAGAGCTCAGTGGGATGTAGGTGAAGGTGGAGGGTTATTTCAGGGCTCTTTGCTTTCTCACAGTGACACGAGTAAATACAGTCCTTCTCAGACGGTCTGAGCCCGGCCTCTGCTAACCCTGTTAGCCTAGCCTAGCCCCCTTCAGAGCTTATCGCTGTAGGTTACGTAGATTAACCAGCTTTCCGACCCCCCAGCCTGCTGCTTTAGGTATTCTTACCATAAGTAAAGAGCTGAGATGGAGGCAATCTGTGCTTTAGTCCTGTTCACTGCTGAGAGAACACTATAATGACGGTGAAACGGCATGAATTATACTGCTTTCTTCAACGAGCATAGTAATTAATGTGTTCAGAAACTGCACATTCAGCCAACAAGGTGAGGAGACATTGGTATGTTTAGACAGGATGGGTTTTACTGGCTTCCGATGTCTCGACATGAACTGTAAACCTGATGTCTCATTGTTATCAGTGGTCACATTCCACAGAATACTAACCCATGAGCAGAATAAAGAATTAATGTTTTAGCAGTTTGGGAAATATTTGCTCCTTTGAGTTTAATGAGAAAATCCACGAGAGTCAGAAGGCAGCTGCCACTTAACTTAACATAAAGACTGGAAATTACTTGTCCAAAGGTAACCAGAGTCCAGAACTGGGTTATGTATAAACCTAACATTTATTGTGTCACCTCTGAACAGAGCCAGACTAGCTGTTTCATCCGTTACCATTCTTTATAAGTTTAGGGTCCCATATTGTGCCCCTTTTCAACAAATGAATGATAATGTCATGCGTCCCCGGAATGAGTCTTTCAGTTTTCAGCCCAAAATACTGAAAAAGTGGTCATTTCACCATGACTGTATAATGTCTAGTTTTTTAGTAACTGAATTTAATTGAATTGAATTTATATAGCACCAATTCACAACATATGCTCTCTCGTAGCACAGTTTTAAACAGAGAAACACAATTCCCTTTGAGCAGCTTTTATGAAACATACATTATAATCTAAATTGTCGCTATGGGATATAACATTTACATTGCCCTTTATTACAGCAGCCCTTGGCCAAAAGAATATGAAAGCACACGCACGTTAACAGATGCGTGATAGCAGCAACAGTTTTTAGTTATATGTCAGTTGTTGTTTCCTAAATTCATGGGCTCAGAGATGTTATCACTCCATGATTTACAGCTGTTATTGATGTCAGGACTGTTAGTACTCCTGTTTCAGATCACTTCCAGACACCTGCAGATTTGACTGACTGCATAGTCGGAGTGGAAAAAGGGAGAGATGTGCTTTTTTTAATGTGAAAAAAAACATTCACACGTGTGCAGCTGAGTCTCACCTGTTCGAAGATGTTTGCTGTGAGGAAACAGGCCCGTGGTTTGTCTGAGGCAGCATTATGTAACTGCAGTACAATATGTAGCTCAAAGCTAGAGCTCAGACAGAGCTTTCCTTTATGAGGAAGTGACGGAGTGAAAACCTACGATTTGTGTTGGTTATGATGTGATGCTGACTTGGTCTCTGCTGCATACACATGCTGAATGCTTTTAAAAATCTCCTCTGCATTTCTGAGTCAGTGTTGTTGTTGTTGTTGCTTGGTGTGTTTGTCTGGATAGCTGGCCAAATATAGATGACATGACATCACAAGGAGATATTTCCAGCTTGTAAGACTGACTGATAAAGACTACCTATTTTCAGCTATCTAAAGCATCAATTTAAATGTCAGAATTCCACATTAGTTCCTTCCAATCAAAGAGAAAGAGCTTCTTTCTGGAGTTACTGTTTTACATAGTCATTTGGCAGTATAACTCCTCAAGAAATACCATATTGAAGGTCACACTGTTCTCTTATAGTCTTATAGCTTTTATAGCAGAATGCACAGCAGCAACAAAACATTTCGTGTTGTGAGTCAATATCTCTCAGTATCCTCAAACTCTGGGTCACATTTGATCAAACTAATGAGTTTAAAAAGTGACGGTACCAAACCTCGCTAACGTCAAGAAGAGTAAGGTCATTTCGATCAAAACGATATGCAGCAGTTGGAGTAGTGAATATGACTTTCTGCACCTTTTCCTTTGGAATGTACTTTACCCTCAGATGACACTAGTTGTTTTCAGTGTTGAATCATCCTCTGGGCTCTTATAGGTGTGTAGGTCCCAGTAGGTACATCAAGTGAGGGAACAGACATCCATCAGTTCAAACAAGCAGTGAGCTATTTTTATTGCAGCAGGTTGTTGATTAACTAACCTTTAAACAGGATTGGTGATAATGACATGCCCTCTGGCCCTGTGTGTGTGTGTGTGTGTGTGTGTGTGTGTGTGTGTGTGAGGTGAACTAGTATGAGCCTCTACCACACAGGAATGTTGAGTGTGACGGATATGAAGGCATCAAGTCATGATTAGGGAAAATAGGTGATGATGAACAGATGACAAATGCATGAGAACACTAAGGGTTACAGTATAGAAGAACTGCTTCTTACAGTGTGCTGTCTGGCCTCATCGGAACACAGAATTGTACATAGCTGTTTGGCACAGCCACATTGAGGGAGGGATGGAAAGCTGTCCAACATAGAGAGACAGGACACGTAGTATTGTTTAAATATAGAAGTAATAATGCAGATTTTCAGACAGTCAATCTAAAAGAGATTCATATTGTGGCACTCACACACTGTGTGTGTAGCCCACAAAATAATATTTGTGACCATGCGGCCGATCAGCACTACAATTGTGTAGACTGCACATGTGCCAGGAAAACAAGTTTTTCTTAAAGCAAATGTGTAGTATGAGGAAGGACTGTACGACAATGATTCTCCACCACACCTTTGTAGTTCATCGTTAACAGAGTTGTAATTGAAGTTGCCACTGCCAGACTTTGCAGTTGTTTCGATTTGTGCATACTTTGTGCATGCCATCAGTGGAGCCCAAACACAGTGGCAAGTTCTGAATTTTCCTGAAATCCCAAGCTATGTTCACCTACTGCGTTCGAATATTGTTGTTGGTTTCAGAA